TACTTGGAGTCTTGGACTGAATATATACAGACCAAAATTCGATTTTGTAGTAATTGGTAAATTTATATATTTTTCTAAATATTTCTCTCATATGCCGGAGGGATTTGGTTCACAATTCTAGTTAGGGGAGAATCTCGATTGCAATATGGGGAGAACCACGATTCCGGAATGGTGAGAATGATGATTCCCAGTTGATGGAGACAATGATTCTAGAAATTTAGGAATCACGATTCCATATTTTTAGGAATCACGATTCCATCAACCACAGAAACAAGTGGGGTCATGTGCGATTCCATAGGTATGAAACGCGATACCAACATGAAGGGGCATCGATTCTTGCAAATAGGAAACACGATTTCGAATTTTTTGAATCGCTTTCGAAATAGTGAGAATCAATTTTCTCAAATCTGAATCGTACGGACAGCGATTCCTAGATTCCGAAACTTTTGATATACACGATTCCCCGATTCCGATTCCAAAAACAATTCGGAATCACAGATATTTCCAACAACTATAGTTAAATGTTATATGGGTTTATCCCATTCTAGCAATATTTTATTGCAGTGATAACATCCATGTTTTGAAGTTGGGATTACATGTAGGACTTGCCTTCTAGTAGGACTAATCTTTCTAGTTTCTTGAGAGTCAAGTTACTCGTATGTGTATATAAAGGCATAACTACTTTGCTTTTGTTTGAATGAAATGTTTTTTCTCTCTAAGCGTCAGTTCATTGTTGAACATTGTCTTCCTTGTACATCAAGTCATGTATTTCCTTATAAAAAGGCTTCAGGGATTTCATTCCCTTGCTTCTTGTTTTTGTATGCTTGTGTGCCCTATTAATTGTAGGTGTTCGGTTCGTGTTCCTCTCATAGTGTGACTCTACATGCTTGTAACATTTTGAGGCAATTGACTTATTCAAAATAAAGGATACAGGGAAAAAGAAGGGAGGGGAAACAAGGACTCTGCCTTATTTTTGAAGTTGTTATTTTGAAATGAGTGTCAGACATACAGTTTTAAGGTTCTTTGTATTTTGCGTCCATTACCAAAATTTGTTGGGTTTTGAAAACCTCAAAACAAATGTAAATGTTCTTTATAGTTAAGACATTTTGCTAGCCTGAGGAGGTACTATCTATCTTTTATGCTTTTAATATGTGCAAATATTATTCTATCCAACTCCATTATCAAAAAAATAAATAAAAATATTCTATTCAACTTTCATCCATGCCCTCCCTTAAGTTAGCAGGTTTTCTCAAACTAAATCTCACTCTTTAAAAATCAAACTTGTTTTTCTTTCATAAGAAAAATCTCATTAACACGTTTTTATGCCTTTGAAAGATGATTTATTCAATATCATTGTTGTCAGTGGTAGGGCGGGTGTAGGAGTGCAATTAGGGGATCATTCTTGCTAGGAGTTCCCTAGTTTGGGAGTGCCCATACCGTGAATATATAAAAATGGAAGAGATGATTGACAAATTTTAAGTAATAGTTGGATGCAAAATTTATATATAAAAAATTAATGATTTTACTTACAAATAAATTTACTCAAATAAAATTTGACAACAATAACTCATATTTATTTAGTTGAATTTTCTCCTATATAAGTACTTCATAATGCTATACTAAAAAATATTTAGTTAATCTTACATTGTAAATGATAGTAAATGATATTATTTCATTCAATTGACATATGAGACATGCCTTTTCTTTTCACATATGCCCCTTCATTTCAATGTTTCTTTTTCCGAAGAGAGCTTGAAACAGAGTGAGCAAATAAGTGTAGAAATACAAAGAGAATCTGAGATCATTCTCTTGCACATTTTTTAAAAAGATGAGGAGTCTGTAACAGAAGTTGGATCCATTATTTCCTATGTTAAATATGATTTTGGGAGCATTGAATTCAAAATTCTCTATTTGTGATCGGTGCAAATTTAAGATCTCTTTCCCTTTGAAAATATTTTTGCTTTTTGAAAAATATCCTATGGACATGTATTTATTGTTTCCAGTTGGCATGAGTTCATATTTTTTCCTTCCCGAATTTTCATTTTATTTTTATAATTTTTCTTTTTACTCATTTTCTATGGGTTTTGAGCATCCGCCCTAGTTTGAATGGGGAGCTCTATAAACCCCAACTCACGTAACTTTTAAAAAGGATGGAAAGGCTTGGAAAATGGAGAAAAAAAGTGAGTAAATATCTCTTTCGCCTTGAGTGTTATTGAAACTCTACTACTTTGAAAAGAGGAGGGAGAAACATTTTGCAAAAAGAATACTCCCCTTTGCCCGTAACCCTAGGTTAACTAAGCCTTAACCCACCTTAGTTAAGTTTCTATACTTAACCAAGGGTTTCCTAAACCTTAACCCAACCACACCTCCTAACCCAACCATCTAACCCACATCCTATCCTACTCCATACCTTACCCTCAAGTCTACACCATACCTCACACTTAATCCTACACCTTACTATACTCCACACCATACCATACTCCCTAACCCCTACCATACCGTACTCCTTGGACTATAGCTAAACTATAAAATGGGAGACGAAACAAGAGGAAACTGTTACTGAGAATCAGAGCAGGGGCAGAGAAGCCTTACATGATGGTCATATAGAAAAATCTGAGTGCATAGTTATTGGGAGCGGGAGCCAGGGATTGACCCATGGCTGAAGCTCCCTAACTTGGGAGCATTGATTAGGGAGTAGCCCCTGATATATGTACTATATCTATATGGAGCCCCCTTTATAATACATATTAATACATATCTTATTTCAAAGTGATATTTAAAAAATTATAAAATATGCAGCATTAATTATTTCAAAGTGATTTTTAAAAAATTCAAAATGCAGTACTAATTAATTCAAAGTGATATTTAAAAAATTCTAAAATATGTAATCTACTTTTTTAGTGTACTTATACACATGCAGAATGAGAAAAATAGAAAAGAAAATAGAAAAGAAATATTGAAGTGCACAAGAAGAAAGCAAAAGCACTAGGATAACACTTCTTAATACTCATATTAAGGCTTCACCATTGTTTGGTATTGTATTATCCTTATTTGCCATACAGTGCATCTTATGTTCTTCAGAAAAGTTACACAACTGTTTCATTGTGGCTACTCTGAAGACTAGTGCCTCCTTTTTTGTTAATGTGTTTGTTGCCAATAAGAATGGGTTGTATTGTACCGAGTGATATGGGGAGTGCGCAGATTTATAGATTAAGCATGTTTAATTGGCCATGGTTCCCCCTTTCATGCATGTGTGGGTTTGATGGACTTCTTGAATTAAACATCAAATGTATTACCCCTGTTAGCCATTTTGTGACCCAAAGTGCCTGAACCTTGATTGTTGGAACTAGTCGTTCCTCTCAGTAAATGCATCATGTTTATCTTGTGACTATCCATACAATTTACCCATAAATACATTGGATATAGCTGGTATCCATCCAGTTGCACCAGAGTCGATTTGTTTAAATGTATGCAGTCAATTGATTTGCCACTTGGCTCTTGACATTTATGTGAAAGTTCTGTATGGTGCATGTCTGTGACATCTAGGTGAACACCAATCAGGTCATGATTAAAACAAATGAAATAGATTATGAAGTAACCACTTCAATCGACATAACTATATAAAGTTTTAGGACATAATGTCATCAAAACAAAGGTCAATAAGCAAGTTTGATTGTTGCATATGATACATTGTTTTCTTGGTAATCGGATAAACTTTTTGCATTCAAAATGTTATTTATTTATTGTCTTTTTCCATGGGTTTATTTATTAATTTGTACCATTGTCAGATCAAGGAGCAATTGAGTGCAGATGCAGTCATTGTCAAGGATGCCTATGGAGATGGTCGACATGTGAGGTAGTCTATTTTTCCATTGATAAGTCGTAACATGTTGTGCTTGATGCACGTGAACAGTCAACATAGTGTTTGTCTTTTGGAGAGTGCCTTCCTCTTCTACTTATGTGATATTTGTGAGCCCCTGATAGAATAATTTTTGATGCTTCATCCCAGTCTCCTTAACTTCCAACTTCTGAACTAGCAAAAGAATAGAACAATATGCCATAACTTGATACAATAATCCTCCCATTCAAACTAGATAATGTATGGCAGCTATTCTTAGCTTGCTTGCTAGAAAGTGGTGATAGAAATGTTATGTTAGTTATTCTTGAGTTACTTGTTGGAAAGTGCGAATGAACATGTCTGCTAACTGACAATTGACTTATGGTATAACAAGTTCTCACAACTCTTTCTGTGAGTTCTGTCTAAGAAAGTGACTAAGTGAGCCTACCTATATATGCTTTTGTTGTCCTGGAATACCATGTGGCAATGTGTAGGCCTTTGTTAAGAAAAAACCAAGGAAATTGCAATCTGCACATATCCACAAGGATACCTGCTTTGTTGCTTGAGCATAAAACTGTTTTATACTTGTAGGATAGACAAAAGTAAGTAGTGATGCATCTTCGATTGAAGGATCAGTCAACACGTTCCACATCTCTCTCCCCAGTATCTAAATTAATTAACCCTGTTAATTGCAACAGTTGTGGCACTAACTTTGTTGCCTCTGCGTATCCTTTGGACATCAATATATTGTCCTTTTCAATAGTCTGATTTTGGATTCTTGCTGACTGCATGCATAAGGTATGGTTGGTTGATTTTGAGAGAAATGAAAATGATTGGATGATTTTGAGATAAATGAAAATGCTGAGTAGTTTTTGATACATTTTTTCTTGTTTGGTTCACCAGAGTGAATGTATACCCACTGATGCTTTGCTTAATGGCAGTATCACGAGGCATTCCTTGTAGAATCCCACTTTGTTTCTGGATTATACACGAGATATTTCCTTAAAGAAAACAAGGCCTTTATTGGAGCTCATTGTTTATAATCTCATGGATGTCTTAATTTTTTCACAATACTGATCTCAAACTTGTCATGTGAGTGATTCTTTATCTATCATCCAATACTATCAGGTATAGGGCGGCTGATATAAATTTTATTATGACTAAAGAATAATAAGAGGCTGCTCGTATTAGTCAACCTACTATATAGCCTCCCTTATTATGTTTCTCCCCTGACTAATTAATTAACTGGTCAGTATCTTCACTAAGTTTCTTATTAATATACTCTCCTAGACATCTACCGAAGTGGGGACATATGCTTTTCACATGTGGCTATATGAGAGAGAGAGAGAGAGAGAGAGAGAGAGAGAGAGAGAGAGTAGTAGTAGTAGTCGTAGGTTCGTAGACGAA